AATTAATGTATCTTTTAAAAAAAGGTTTTTGATCGTACCGACCGTAAACAGTGGAGGAAATGGTAGAAATGGAACAGCCGCGAGCCCAATGTCTCTCACAGTCTCGTCGTTCGCAGGATAGACAAAAATGCGTGTGTACAGCACACCCCCCCCCCCCCCCCAATAATGCAATTATTAATTATTACTAATAAACTTTTTAAAAAACCGGTATTAATACTAAATATTATAACCATTAGTTTGTTTTAGCGTTAGAGAGAAAAAAAATAGATCTAGCGGCACTGTTTTCACGTGTAGGGAGAAAAACGAACAGCGGATATTCCGAATTCTATTTTCGTTTTAAACCAAAACATGACCAGAGCTGAGCGAAGTTTAAACCAAAACGTGACTATAGTCCGGACAACACCAAATGGACAATTTTTAGACCTCATTAAACAGAAACTAAGAGGCGAATTGTCCTAATTTTTTGCATGTGCCTCTGAATTCCAAAAACCTAAACAATCTCAATTTTTGTGCACATTCGACAAATATAAATAATTTATTACATGAGTTGTGGTGTAAGATCATGATTTATCCTACGAGTGAAATTGCCAAGTTGTAATCACGAGTTTCAACGAGTGATTACAAGTTGCAATTTCACAAGTAGGATAAATCATGATCTAACACCACAACGAGTGTAATAAATTTTTTATACCATACTGACATCAGCTGGCGAAATACGTCCGTTCCAACAAAGTTCAAAAGACCCGTCAATTGGACAAGAGGTTCCATTCTAGAGTCTCACATGAAAACAACATTTTCATGCCCGTCGAAGTCAGATTGAGAATTGGGGAAAATCTGGATTGTTTTCCTTTACTTTTAGCCACGCTAATTTACAAGTTGTGCTGTCCGTATGTCTCCCTCCGCGAAACAAACCCCAAACAAAACTATCATAACGTAAATATAAGCAAAGTAATCAGAAAGTGTACGGTTCAAAAGTTGAAAGAAACTGCATTAATATAAATCTAGCACGTTTTTGTTAGAATAGAGATGGCTTTGATTTTGATTTCAAACTTCGTAACCAAAACAAACCAAAGGCAAAGAGTTAATCTAGATTCTATTCTCTAGATCTAGATCTAGATTAGATCTAATCTAGATCTAGATTCTAGATCTTAGATCTAATGCATTGCTTTAAATTGGTCAAAGATGAAAAAAAAGGCTTTTTAACAACAAAAGTTGTCAAGCTACTTGGATATTGATGTGCTAATTCTAAATATGTAGTTAGATATCTAGTTTTTGTCTATCGATTTCCGATATTCTGGATTTCTTAAGGGGAGGTAAGAATATCAGAATAACAAGGGAAGTAACTTTTATTATTTCCAAAAAAGTAATTTTCCAAGAGTGTTATACTCGTATATTGACTAATATCATATTTATTAATTACATATCGTTTAAAAGTTTAATCTTCTGACTCAAAACACCGTTGAGGCAAAACATTTTAGGAAAAACATAAGAGTTTTCTAGCCGTGCAGTCCTGGCATTGGAAAGAATAGGACTGACGTGGTGCTAGCGTGTCGTAGGAGGCGACTAAATGGCGAAACCAGGTAGTGACTCCCGAAACAGAGTCATCCTGCCTCCAGGTCGGGGGTTGAGTCACGAGGCTAACAACCTCTCTCGTAAAAAGAACTTGTTACAGAAACACATACAAGCAAAAACCATTATCTCTGCTTGGCTGGTCGTGGATTTTCTCCGAACGGAGAGTTTATGATGAGAAGTAGTGAAAGCCGAAAGGAAGCTGCTGGGCAGAAGCCTCCACCATCATCCAAGTCCAAGTATCTCCGGATTGGATCGTGGAACGTTAGGACTCTTTATGAGGCTGGAAAAACTGCACAGGTCCTCCAAGAAAAGCACCGATACCACCTACACATACTGGGAATCAGCGAGACCCACTTGAACCAGTCTGGACAGAAGCGAATGAAAGAGGGGGAGCTTTTTATTTATTCAGGAAATGACAGTGATGGACCACACAGGGAAGGAGTAGGGATGATCATGGCCAAAACAGCGCAAAAGACATTTTGGGGCTGGGAACCGCACGGTCCAAGAATCATCATGGCCTCATTTGGAACTAAAAAACAACTCAAGGAAAAGGATACATGTAGTAGGAAGAAGGTCGTAAACATGAACATCATACAAGTGTATGCCCCAATCAATGATGCAGAAGTGGAGAATAAAGATGACTTCTACAACTGCCTGCAGAGCGTGATCGACAAACTTCCAGGTAAGGACATTAACATTGTCATGGGAGATTTAAATGCAAAGGTAGGTTCGGGCAATCGTCACTGTGAGGAAAACATGGGCAGACATAGACTAGGAGAGGCTAATGACAACAGAGAAAGATTCCAACACTTCTGTGCATTAAACAAGTTGGTTATTGGAGGAACAATATTCCCACATAAAAGAATTCATAAGGCCACTTGGATCTCCCCGGATTGAACAACGGAAAACCAGATTGATCATTTTTGCATTTCCCGAAAGTTTAGACGCTCGCTGGAGGACGTCCGAGTTTTACGAGGAGCAGACGTCGCATCAGACCACCATTTGATCCTTGAAAAGAAAAAAACTGAAACTGAGAAGGTATGCACAAATCACAACTGGAAGTCGCCAAAAGTTTGAAGTGAGCCTTCTGAAAGATCCAGTAAAGAAGAATGAATTCAAGTTGGAACTGAAGAACAGATTTCAAGCCCTTCAAGATCTGGATGACTGTGAAGTAAACGAGCGTTTGGACAAGATAAAAGAGGCAGCAAATGCAACCTGCCAGGGCATCCTAGGACCCAAAGTCAACACCAGGAATGAATGGATTTCACAGGACTCTCTAGACCAAATCAAAAGAAGAAGAGAGCTGGAGGCCCAAGTTAACAACAGCCGTACCCGAAATGAGAAACTCGCTGCACAACAAGAGTACACCGAAGTAAACCGGGAGGTAAAGAATTCCATCAAGAAGGACAAGAATACCAACCTGAATGGCCTGGCCGAAAAGGCTGACAAAGCAGCTTCAGACGGGCACTTGCGGATTGTATATCAGACAACAAAGACTCTTTCAGGTAGGTTCAGCAAGCCCACTCTACCAGTGAAAGACAAAGAGGGAAAGACTATCTTCAACCAGAGGGGCAACTGAACCGATGGAGAGAACACTTTGATCAACTATTGAACAAACCACCCCCAGAAAACCAACCAGAAATTCTTCCAGCCCGAAACGACCTCCCAGTCGCTACAGAACCACCTTCGAGAAAGGAAATTGCTGCAGCTATAACAGCACTGAAGTCCCACAAGGCAGCTGGTCCGGACCATATGTGACGTGATTTGGGAAAATCAGTCTGATGGTGAAATCTTCATTTTTTTTTTTTACTTTTTAAAAAAGGGCATTCATTTCAGAACAGCCTGGTCTTTATTTGATTAAAAAATATGGTTTCGTTCCCAAGTTATGTCTGTTTGAAGTTAGATGGGTTCGGAGAATCAGTTTTGAGAAAAAGCCATTCAAAGTTTGAAGAAGTTCTCATTGCAAATATTCTTCTGGCATCAACTCAACAGATGTCAGAGGTGGTTAAACTTGAAGTACAATCATTTTAGATGAATTTGCACTTTGTCTGAGTAAGATTTACTGAATCTTAAGAAAGATATAGCCTATTTCCCAAACACACGCATTCTTTCAGGCAGTCTTAAAAAAGGAAAAAAACACATTTGCGTAATTAATTCCTTCTTTATTACTTCAATTCAAATATGATCAAGTCATGATGAATATGTGCCTTTGAATAAATATATATCCAGCTGAAATTGCAAAGATCATGACTTAACTGCTTTCTGCTAAAAATTGAGTATTTTCGTACCCGTAAATAGTTAAAAAGGACATTGTCATTTTTGTATAACCTCAACATCTCTTAAAAGCAGTTAATAAATCAATATAAGTAGTCCCTGCATTTACATCATAAAATATAATACAACAATGGTTTAGGAACACACAGTTAACTTAAGTAAGTCAATATCTTGATTGGTGTCTATGCAGACAACCCTGGTTCGAAGAATAATGCCATTGATTAAGGCCATTTATTTTGCATTGCGCCTTTGAAGAATTTTCATGTCAACAGTCATGTCCTTCCAGGGACTGCAATTAAAAGTAGGATGTCATCTTCTCCAGTGCCCTTTGCATGCTGCTGAGGGCATTTAACCATTACATGTATTAAAGTTAAAGAAAATTATATCAATGCATTGTTCAACGCCTTGACAATACCAGGCATTTAATTTAAAAATGAATGAAATATCATCTCTGAAGAAGCAAACAAATTAGATGCATCAATAAATAGAACAACACTTATATATACACTTAAGTTATAGTTCAGGGGGCCCTGTTATATTTCAATGGGTCTCCTCTGAGTCCACAGATAGAAGATAAAATATTAAATACATTAGTCTTAGTGAGGATGTTCTTCTTTTGTCATTACCTGTACATGAACTATGGGTGCTTAGTTAGTATCACGATGGACTATGGAGCAGATGGCCCTGGTTCAAATCCCAAACTGGACATTCTTAAACTTGGATCATTTTGTGGAGTTTCCAAGGCCTTTAATTTGGCTTGGTCATACTGAATGTTAAATTCCTAGGTTCCGGCTCATAATTATAATATAACGTATAACACACACATAAGTCTACATACTCACAAACACACATGATGAGTACACAGATTACAATATTTGAATACAATAATGAATGAATGGTCAGTTTACGAAATCGTATAACAAAACATCAATAGGTAAGATACCGCACAAAGGTGAACGGGCAAAATACATTATATTACTGCATTACTGTTTTAATCTTAACTCTTCCCCTTCCCCTTTCCTTGGTAGCAGCTTGACATTAGTGTCAGAGTGTCCAGGTTGACGCCCAGGAAGCATGATAGCATGAATTTCTGCATAATTTAAAATAAAATCAACAACATGCTTGACGTCAGTGAATGTTAATGCATGCAAGGGTTTTGATCCTTTTAATTTGTGAACTCTAGCACAAACACCAAAATCAAAATAATGTTTGATCAGTGCAGTTAATTTATCTTGGCTCATGCTGTGTAACCATTAAAAAAATTCCCTGCAAATCAAATTTCCATGCAAAGTAAATTTCATTTTGTGTTTTCTCCTCTGGCTCACTTTCCCAGCATGTTTAGCCTCCGCAGACCGACCCATCCCAGCGCTGAGTTGGCTTGTAATAGCGATGTCTTGCTCTTCCCTTGACATTTCTAAGAATTAAAATTTAAGATTAATTAAAACATTTCTATCGAATTGTATATGACACGGCCGACCTCCAAAAGACTTGCAGCGGCATGGTAAGTCAGTGTAGTCTCTCTGAGCTGCGAAGTCTTCTGGAGTTGGGGTGATTTTAGCCGAGAGGTCCTCTACGAAAGTTTGACCAAGGGCGTCATCGTCATCAGCTGTTTAACAGAAATAAAAGATAGGAACAGTTGTGGTTAATCACCATGTCAGATGAACATTTTGATTTCATGGGGAAGAAAGAGACTTACCTAATTGTCGTGGATACATCGAAGACAACACTTCCAGATCATTACAATAGAGATTATGTTCTTTGTCAATGGTATGAATTACATAAATTTCTTCCCCCTCTTCCTCTATACTGATTGAGAAGCCACTCAAATGCACACATACATACAAACATGCACATATCAACGGTGTTCAGCCTCTATTAAAAATTCAGGTGCCACTTTGGTTGCCGGTCTACCGTGATGTGAGAGTCTACCAAAGTCTCGCCCAATCGACCACAGTCTACTGTATAGTGTAAGTCCCGCCTTACTGGCCATGCGAGCAAGAGTGTCGGGAGCATTTAGATCAAAGACGGTGGCATTTACAATTGCAGTGTGTGTGGATTGCTTTATTTTGTGGTCTTGTTTAGATCAAATAATTTTGCGGTGATAAAGATTATGATTGCTGGACCAGTTTGCAAGCTATAACCATAAAACTGAAAAGCTAAAATTTTAGTAAAATACAAGAGAAAAGAATAATAGCATCAAATGATCATGACTAATGAATAAGTCGATCACTTAAAAAAGAATGCCTGAATCAGTGGATTAATAATCTAAATATCCTGATAAGAAAAAATCATCTTACCAAAGTCACTCTGCAGACTGACCGACTCCAATTCTTCAGCTTGTGGGGCTACTGGTTGGTCCACTACGCTTAATGTCTCAGCAGTCTCAGCGGTCGCAAGGGCTGTGGGCAAAGTTTTAAACAAACATTTATTTTTTCCCGCATCAATTTTCTTCATAGTATTAAGGAGTAAAAGTGAAAGAATAAGTTCACAATCAATACAAGTAGAAGTAAAAGTTTTTACTTGAGAGACACACATACTAGTGCAGAAAGGACTTCTGTAACGAGTGACCCCCCCCCC